GAATGGGTTATTAGACTGCAGCGGCATAGAAGAATGCTGGCCCGAGTGCGGATCCCATTCAGAGCCATTCTCAGCATTTTGATGTTGTGGCTGCTGCCACTCGTTTGTATGGGGCCTTCCATGAGCTCCGGGAGTCAAGACTGTCGGTACACGGGCGACCCTACTATTTCCTGTTGCCTGCGCACCATTCACAGCGGGCGCGGTTGGCGCAGGTTGCGCTAGACCGGAGGACTCATGCGAGCCAAGGTTGAACCTCTCCACGAGCTCGTCCGCCCATGCATTCGTGGCATCACCGGGAGAGGCCCTGGTTGGAGACTTCTGCGCCTGTTCTAGAGGCATCAGGTCAAATGCCGGTGAAGTGTTGAGGTCGGGATAGAAGATGGAGTCGGGGGAAGCGGCCCGCTGAGGTTGGGGGTTGCTTTGAGCCCTTCGAGGGCGGGTAAGACGCTTTGGGGACGACGACGACAATGACTTGGAGGTTGGTGAGGATTTGGACGACAGATTGCGAGGGTCTGCAGAATCGTAGGCTTGGCCGAGACTTTGGAGACGTGGCGGAGCTCGTTTTCGCAGGACCATGAAGGCGGGTTCTTGCCGTCCAGATCTTTGAGGGGGTGGGGGGACCAACCGAGCTCACGGGCGTCAATCGATGAAACGTTGGACAAGCTTGGGGGCCAATAGGATTACAGGCAGAATGAGTATGGGCAGAAGTGAGAGGCCAGTGAACTTTAGTTGAGTTGGTGACAAAGAAACGACAGGTGCAGTCAGACACCTTCGATGCATGAATGAATGGATAGATGGATGATGGAAGGGGAAATGCCGACAGGCGTGTGGTTGGAAGCCACCGGGGGATGTATACGTAACGGGGGGCAGTAGCTCCAAGCCTCGTCACTGGCGTAGTAAACACTTCAGTCGACGACCATAATCCTGCGCATTTGGCCAGGGATATGACAGAGAAGGATGCAATTGAAATGCGTAAACTTGGAAGCAGCAGCTGACAGGGATAGCAACTGAGAATGAGTCGAACGAGGGTCACAGGCACCCGAATTCCCATAGATGAATAGAAGGGTTAACTTACAGTCGACCTCGGATGGCTGTCAATTGGCGGTGGAGATTCCAAGTACTCCAACACATACAGCCAATTACGGCAAGCGTCAGCAATTCAGCAATTCGGCTGCCTGGATCTCCTGTGCTGTCCCGGCAACGTGTATTGTATGGTAAAGTGATAAGTAAACCCTGACACAATCTCCACCTGAAGTACAGCCACTGTACCCACTGCGAAGCCACTTATCACGAGCCACTCGATGACGTCTTGGGCTGCTACGCCGGCAGGCGGAAAAACCACATTTCCCGCCCGCAGCACAGCGCTTACATAACTCCTGCATTATCACAAGCTCGTGGGGGGTCCGTGCGTTATCGCAGAAAAAAAGTGAAATGAACCCCCCAGATCAAGTAGGCTTATCAGCTAACTTAGAAGTTTAGCATTGCGACATAATTTATCTGCTCACTTGCGTGCTCGATGCGGAACGGTTGGATTTAGAATTTGATGAATTGAGAAAGCTTCCTCCCCCCCTCTTCCCTGCGTCGCCCAGCATGCATTCTTACGTGCGACCGAATCAGTTCGTCGCCTTCAAGCTCCCGTCCGATCAGACGAGGATCCAAAAGATTGTCCCTAATACGTATGCGCGCGCGCCTCGCCTCCGACCGAGCAAATGGGCTCAATTCTCCGTTCTTACACTCTTAGCTGACCGAGAGACACCTCTGTAGCCAAGTATTCCTGGGCAAATATGGAACGTTCCCCGCCAACCAAATCATCGGTCGTCCCTTCTACCTCACCTTCGACATTCACGAAACCCCGGGCGAGCCCGATAGCACCCACCTACGCATTGTCTCGGCGGCCGAGCTGCATGCGGAACACCTTATCGCCGAAGGCGAAGGCGACGGCGACGACCAAGAGCCCAGCGATGAGGCATCGACGATGCGCACCAACCGCGACACGATCGACGATCGCTCGACGCAGAAGCTGACCATCGAGGAGATCGAGGCCCTGAAGAAGGAGAGCACGGGGGCCGGCAAGGAGATTATCGCTAAGCTTCTGGAGTCACATTCGGCGATCGATCAGAAGACGGCATTCTCGCTGGCGAAATACAAGCTGCGCAAGGAGCGGAAGTACATGAAGCGGTTCACGATCATCCCCTTGGATGTTAGCTATTTGACGAACTATATGCTGCAGGACAAGGAGGCGGCGAGAACGCTGGAGATGCGCGACGAGGCGCTCGGTCTGCTGGGGTGTTGGGGCAACGTGCACCACGGAGGCAGCACCTCCTTCGACATGGAGACCGTTTTGTCGAATCCGAATGGGCGGTACCTGGTCGTGGATGATACCGGTGGCTTGGTGGTCGCTGCTATGGCGGAGAGGATGGGGATCCTCTACCCGCATGATGGAGACTTCGATAACGAGCAGCAGGACGCGCATCAGAAAGTGCCTGCAACCGCCGGCGCTCAGGCAGAGCACGAGGAGGAGGCACAACCGACCGAGGGTGGTGCCCCGTCACGTCGGAATCGTCGCCCGCAGATGTCTGCGCAAGGCAACACCATCACCTTGCTCCATGCGAACAAGCAACCCAACATCAGTCTCCTGAAATACTTCGGTTACGAGGCCGACGACCCGAGCGACTCTCACCCTCTCTACACGAACTTCAAGTCTGTCTCCTTCATGCAGCTTCTGGACCCCAACGCAGACAGCATCTACGCTCAGGAACCCACGGAGATCCCCGCCGAGGAGCTTTCCACATTCAAGTCGAGCAAGCGCAGTGCTTACCACCGCAAGCGTGGTCGGTGGATGCGGGTACGACGAACCGTCGACGAGGCTCGGGCTGGTGGTTTCGATGGCTTGGTGATCGCAACCCTGATGGACCCGAGCAGCGTGCTGAAGTACACGATCCCACTATTGGCCGGCTCGGCCCCGGTCGCCATATACTCGCCCAACATTGAGCCCCTGACAGAGGTAATGGATTTGTACTCAACCGCAAGAAAGACCGCTTTTATCAACCGAAGGCGCGAGTTGGTGGAGCAGAAGGCCGCATCAGATGATTCGGTCGATGTGAAATCCGAGCTCGAGGAGGAATTCCCTCTCGACCCGACCCTGCTACTGGCACCTACCTTGGAGACGTCGAGAGTTCGGGTGTGGCAGGTCCTGCCAGGGCGCTCACATCCCCTGATGTCCAGTCGGGGTGGTGCGGACGGCTTCATTTTCCACGGAATTAAAGTTGTTCCCACGCAAGAACACATTGAGGCAGCAGGTAACCCCAGCCGCAAGAAGAGAAAGATCGCTCGGTCAGATGAGACCCCGGCAGACAGTGGCGAGGGTGTTGATGTGGAGATGACTGTGTAAACTGTGCTGGATTGCCAATTTTCTTGTCGAACGTGTAACATAGACTCTCTACGAATTACCAAGTCGGAAAGGGTTCAATCCTTATATGGAATCTCATGATGTTAATGTCAACTTCCGAGCAATAACTCGGGAAATCCTGTTACGGATCTGCATGACATAAACCACTTGGTCCCGCCTCCCCTGCTGCAAGCTTAGACCAAGGCCATGGTTAGGCGTTACCTGGTCACCTCGTCACCATAGCGAACCACGTTGATTTTCGCTTTCACAACGCTCATATTCAAATATACATAGAGTAAAGTGACAATACCTCGGCCGCCGTCCTTATGGGTTCGTCACACGCTGACTGGATGGGCGCAAAATCAAAGCAATAAAACGTCTATCTTAGAAGCTCTTTCCCATGAACTTTCTCTTGGTGAAGCTGAGCCACCACTATAGATGACTATATCAGCCAGTGTCCTCCTCCCCCACTAGCAGGGTTCAGGAAACATACCTTCGAGGGACCGACACCGCCGGGGTATAATCTAGCGTGCAGGCGGATAGCGATCTCCTGTCGCACCTGAGACAGATAACTAGCAGACCAACGACATCAGCAAAATCCAAGCCAGAAACTAACGCCTTGGAGTGATAAGAGAGAGACATACGATCTGAGCGTTTCGGCATCCTGACGGTCGCGAGGGGGCTCGAAAGCCTGGTTCAGAGGGAAGGCCACGTCACCGGGGATAGCAAAGTGATCGAGCGCAACATTGATCAGAGCCTAGAATGTGCCACTTGCCGTCAGCAAGTCTTTCTCCCTCTAGCCATACAACAAAGAGCAATATGGAGAAAATGGAAAAAGCTCCCTGACCTTCTCCGCATCGCGAGCAGCCATCGTCGGCTTCACCTTGCCCAAGCACTCGGTGATGAACAACGTTCCATAGATGAGCATACGGTCGGCGGGGCCGTTGATCTCGAAGTTGCGGAACAGAACATTGGCCCGGAAGAGCGACAGGATCTCGTCGACACAGTCGTAGGACTCGCTGTCGGCGGGCACTTCGGTATCGGCGTTAGGCGGGAGCGGAGGGAGGGTGTATGCGGGGCCGCGAGTGCGGGTGCGGAGGGGGAGGACGGGGAAATTGCCTGTAGATCAGAAGGTGAAGTCGATGGGAGTTAGTTTATGTTGGTTGGCTTTGCTGCTGCTTTCTTTGGGGGTTTCCGTGAAATGCGCAGGGGAGAGGGGAGCGCATTCCGCCATACCTATTACGGGGACATCCCGGTCCTCGAGGAAGATGGAGTGGTAGGCCTAGACCAGTGTCAGGGGGGGAAGTGGAATGAAAATGATCATCAGCACGAGTCTCGCAAAGCTTACAGGCATGATGTGATAGTAGCGAAAGAGCAATGGGTCCCCTTAGAGCCTGTCTAATGAGGGCTGGCTGTTGATGGATCAGGAGAATAGGCAGTGGGGGGGTGAGTGAGGGGAGGCGGGAGAAGTGCTGATAGAAGGCGGTGCTGCCAGACCGGCGGGCGGGAGGGAGGTTTCTCATCGCATGTCATCACCCGCTGGCCGCCCTCAGGAGCTCCTCCTCCGCCTTGGGATTTTCCGGCCCCGAACCTCTTTACGCGCTGCGGGATTTCGACGCGTCTGGCCTTTCCCTTGTGTTTTGCTTCGGGCTTTACTCTGAATTTCCATTTCAATTCTAGCAATCATCACTCAGCAACTCTCAATCCCGATATTCGCAATGTCCGATTACGAGGATGATATGGACGTGGACGCTCCGTCCAAGAACGCGATCCAGTTCAGCTCCGATAACACCAATTCTAAATCCAAAAGACCCGCGGCAGATCTACCAATTGAGGCTCAAGACAACCTTCCCTGGTCCGTCGACCATGTTTCCGGTCTACTATAGTGCTTCTGCTCACTAATTTGCTCCCAGGGTCGAAAAATACCGACCGAATACCCTCGACGATGTCTCTGGACACCAGGATATTCTAGCCACGATCAACAAATTCGTCGAAGCCAATGTATGCAATAATAATTCCGCACATCTTCACCAGACACTCACCAAGCTTTAGCGTCTCCCCCATCTCCTTCTCTATGGCCCTCCTGGCACGGGCAAAACATCCACTATCCTCGCGCTGGCCAGACGGATATATGGCAGCAAGAACATGCGACAGATGGTCTTAGAGCTGAATGCCAGTGATGACCGTGGTATTGATGTGGTCCGTGAGCAGATCAAGACATTTGCCAGTATGTCCACCCACCAACCACTACAGCATGGCGCTCCCAACTTACCCTACGTTTGTTAGGCACCAAGCAGATTTTCTCCATGGCACCCGCAGCTGCCTCCGGAGGCTCCTCGCTCGCCTCTTTCAAACTCATTATTCTCGATGAAGCCGATGCCATGACGGCAACCGCACAGATGGCACTTCGCCGTATTATGGAGCGGTACACCGCCAACACGCGATTCTGCATCATTGCCAACTATACGCACAAACTTTCCCCGGCTCTTCTTTCACGTTGTACCCGATTCCGATTCAGTCCATTAAAAGAGCGAGACATCCGAGTCTTGGTGGATCAGGTGATTGAGAAGGAGCAGATCAAGATTCAGCCCGAAGCGGTAGACAGCCTGGTCACGCTGAGCAAGGGTGACATGCGACGTGCCTTGAATGTCCTTCAAGCTTGCCATGCGAGCAGTACGTCTAGGCACCGATGACAGTCCCGGGGATTTTCCTTCGTACTGACCTTGTTAGGTATACCCCTTCCCATGAAGGACGCCCCTCAGGACCAGCCCCGTCCGGAGCCAGAGACGATTACGAATGAAACGATTTACGACTGCATTGCCGCGCCCCATCCCGCTGATATCGAAGAGATCATGCGAACACTTCTTAACACGAGTGATATTACCTCATGTCTCAACACGATCAATACGATTAAGACCAATAAGGGTTTGGCTCTGGCGGATATCTTGTCTGCGTTGGGCGACCAGCTGCAACGGGTAGAAGTCCCCGCACAAACCAGGATTACCTGGCTGGAAGGGCTGGCGGAGATAGAATGGAGGCTAGCGGGAGGAGGTTCTGAGACAATGCAGACAGGCGGACTGGTGGGTGTTGTACGAAATGGCTGTGAGCTGATGGACCGGTAGTCAGTCGTCCAGCACCACCATAAGAAGAATCCACGATGATCAAATCATTCTATACCACATAAGTCAATTGATCAGAAGAATTCTACAGGACTGTTGCTTTAATATGAGAATTACCTAACGGGCCAATAGCGCCTTGCTGACGATAAGGCGATTGACAAAATAGGTTAATGAGCGGAGTGGGGGGGGAGACTCGCCATTGAGAGGAAACTTGCACTGCAGGGCTGGCCGCTTTTAATCCTTTCAGGGTCTGACTCAGGGTTGGGACCCCGCAGCTGGGGTAATCTACCCAGTAGGTACTAGGTACCTATCTTGCGCGCACATTCAACGGTACTCAGACTGAGAATAACGAAGAGAGGAAGAAACAAAAAGAAAGAAAGAAAGAAAGAAAGAAAGAAAGAAAGAAAGGCAATTGTGTCAGTCAATGTCGATAAGAAAACACGGGATGGAAGCCAAGCCCGCAAGCGGGGAACAGGCAGGCCAGTGGATGATTTCAACATTGGCATCAGATAAGCTCTGCTGGAATGGTTCAATGGCTTCTCTTTCACATTTCCGCGGAACAATACGAGCATTAATATCTGCAGGATGGCAGTTCCGGGGAGTCGTTTCTCCTATCGACTGCAATTTGCAATTGCAGTTGCACCCTAAGACAGGAAAGCAAATTGGCCAATCAATCCCGAGTTACCTGCCAAGTAGTACCTAGTCAGTCATGCCGTCTAGGACCCTTTCGATCTGTAGGGTTTGGCTCCTGTTCCTTGGGGATTTTTTTCCTCCTGCGGACCCCGCCGTGGTCGAGGCGAATCAATCTCATGATAAAGTCCTGCTCCGCGGCAGACGCCGGGCTGGCTGGCCCGTCAGCCGTGGTTCTTTTCTTTTATAGACTGGTCTGGCTGCTACCTTCCCCTCATCCTACTCTCCTCCTCTACTCCTCCTCTCCCATTCACCTTCACAGAGTAAGAGACCTCGTGGCAGTCAAGTTTCATCATGCGGTCCTCTACCCAGCAGTCCAGTTTCATGCTTGCCTTGCTGGCCATGCCGTTGGCCCTGCCAGTATCTGCAGAGAGAATCCTCGGGGCTTATATCTTCGCTCGCCATGGAGATCGTACCGCTAAGGTGTTGAAGAACACGCAGCTGACCGATCTGGGCTACAGCGAAGTCTATCAGACAGGCAGCTACTGGCGCAGCCGGTACCTTGACTCGAACTCGTCTCTTCAGATCCAAGGGATCAACGAGAATATCGTCAAGTTGAGCCAGATCAGTGTCTCGTCACCCTCCGACGATGTGCTTCAGAACTCGGCCACGGGCTTCCTCCAGGGTGTCTACCCCCCTGTCGGCTCGTCGGCGAACCAGACCCTGGCTAATGGCAGCACTGTCGACTCTCCGCTGAACGGATATCAGCTGATTCCCATCTCTCTCACCGAGACTAATTCGAACAGTGAGGATACGGCCTGGCTGCAGAGCTCAACTGAGTGCCAGAACGCCGAGATCAGCAGCAACAACTACTATTCCTCGGCACTTTACAATTCGCTACACTCTTCCACCCAGGACTTCTACCAGTCCCTGTCCTCTTTGCTGAATGAAACCTTCTCCGACTCCCAGATGAGCTTCAAGAACGCTTACACGATCTTCGACTACCTTAACGTTGGGTACATCCACAACACCACCAATGTCCCCACTGAGGAACAACTCCATCAGGCCCTTCTCCTTGCCAACATCGAGCAGTACAACTTGGCCTACAACTCCTCGGACACCATCCGCGCCATCGCAGGTGCAATCCTAGCCGGAGACGTGCTCACCGGTCTGAACGACACCATCTCCTCCAAGGGCAAATCCAAGCTGAACATCCAGTTCGGCTCCTACGGTACTTTCATGTCCTACTTTGGCCTTGCGCAGTTGCCCGCTGCGGACGTTGACTTCATGGGTATCCCTGACTACGCCTCCAGCATGGCATGGGAGCTGGTGACCAACTCGACGGACTCGTTCCCTTCGACCTCCGACATCAGCGTGCGCTTCGTGTTCCACAATGGAACCCTCTCATCCGGCTCGCCTACCGAGTACCCGCTCTATGGCAAGTCCAGCCCTATCATCTCCTGGTCGGAGTTCTCCGAGCTCTCGAGCAAGATCGCCGTCACCTCGACCAAGCAGTGGTGCAGTGTTTGCGGCAACACCGATGGAGATTGTGCGGCCTACTCGACTAGCTCGAACACCACCACCACCACTACTACTTCGTCGAAGTCGGAGAGCGACGGTGGGGTCTCGAGGCCCGTGGCGGGCGTCATTGGTGCGATGGTGACTCTAGCGGTGATCCTTGGTCTGGAAGCACTGTTGCTCCTGGCTGGTGGATTCCGCATCACCACGAAGCGCGCTCCTGTCGATGCTGCAGCTGCCGCCGCTGATGCTGAGAAATAAGCCCATTTGTGGATCTAAATATCTAGATGCAGGATTTGCATTCTAATGAGGGACGATTTATGGCATGACAGTCGAATGGGTGATCTTCATGCAGCAATAATAGCATCCGCAGACAATGAACAAGATTATGCAATATTGAAAGCCTATTTTCTACCTCAGGAAAACTTCCTCATTCATACCTTGAATACATGCACATGAGGCATAGAAATCCCAATCCCATGTAGACCCTAGTCAGAAACTTCCGCAGCTCTGTCGAAAGTTGTCATAGTCGGCTTTTGGTTGAATTAGCAATCCTCAATCTGAAGCATGAAAATTGAGATTAAAATGAGCCATGACCACTGAGCCTTTGTAGTAACTATAGCAAAGTCAATTGATTTAAGTACTGAAGCACTAAAGAGGGGATTTATGAAGAGAAAGTTGGAGACAGTGGCAGTGGTTAGGGCGGAGTATAACTACTGCAATGGGAGGGAGCGTGACGTGACGTGACGTGACGTGACGTGACGCAGCCGAAAGTTTCCCGGGAAAGCTTCAGCTTCCGCTTCATCTTGACCTCCAATTCCTATCCCAGTCAACCTCTCCCTCCGCGGCTCAACCCACTTCCCACCTCACCGCGGGGTGCAGCAAGCCCACTCACAAACAACATCCTCACTTTCCTCACACACCTACGCTATTCAATCACCACCTACGCTATTCAATCACCACCTCATACACGCAACTCGACCCGACCGCACCATCACCATTCCCATCTACGCCGGAAATCAATCAACCCTCTCTTCAAGCCCAGTCGCGCACCACCCACACCCACTCCTACTCACTCCTACTCACTTCTACTCACCCCCACCCCGCCACCAAAATGTCAACACACTACAACACCGAACCCCCCGCCACCGCCACAGCAACCCTGCACACAACCCTCGGCCCAATCCACCTCTCCCTCTTCGGCACGCAAACGCCCCTCACCACACGGAACTTCCTCCAACACGTCGCCGACAACTACTACATGGGCACGATCTTCCACCGGATCGTGCCCGGGTTCGTTATCCAGGGCGGGGACCCCACGGGCACCGGCGCAGGCGGGACGTCCATCTACGAGGAGCCCGAATTCGAGACGGACCCGGACGCGCGCGACCCCACCGAGAAGATCGTGCTGCGCGATGAGCTGCACAGCCGGCTGCGGTTCAACCGGCGCGGGCTGGTGGGGATGGCCAAGAGCGAGGACGGGACGTACGGGAGCCAGTTCTTCATTACCTTGGCGAACACGGAGCGGGAGTTGAACGGGCAGTGTACGCTGTTTGGGCGCGTGGAGGGGGAAAGTATTTTCACCGTGCTCAAAATTGCGGAGGCGGAGGTGGTGGCCGGCACGGAGAGGCCCGTGTATCCGGTCAAGGTGACGGGGTGTGAGGTCGGGGAGCTGGGGAAGTTTGCGGGGAAGGTGGTTTTGGGGCGGAGGGTTGCTGCTGCGCCGTCAGCAGCAGTGGCAGGAGGGGTGGAGAAGGATAAGGGGAAGGGCGCTACGAAGAAGAAAAATAAGAAGCCGAAGAAGACGCTGTTGAGTTTCGCTGGAGGGGATGGGGATGATGACGAGGAGGAGGAGAAGGAGGAGGGAATTCCCGTGCGAGCGGCGAAACCGAAGTACAATGCTGCGCTGGTCACCGATGCAGGAGCAGGAGCAGCACCCTCGTCTACGAAGAAACCACAACCAGAAGAGGAATCACCACCCCTCCGCAACACACGACCTCCTCCACCATCGAGCATACCATCACAACCGCAAACCACGCGCAAACCCAGCACCCCCGACCCGTCCACCCAACTCCCCCTCCCAGACCCCGAATCTCCTTCCTCCTCCCCCGAACCCAACCCAGCACCACCAGCACCACCGCCCAAACAAACCAAACTCGACCGCACGAATGCCGAAATCGAAGCCGTCATGGCCTCAATGCGCCGCAGCACCACCGCCACGATCCACGACCCTTCCACACACAAGAAATCCGCCCTGGAAGCCATGATCCCCTCCACCGCCATCCGGGGCCGCCGGCGCCCCGCCCCGAGCAGCAGCAGCACTGCCCCCGGAGCCAGCGGCGGCAGCACCAACGGAATAACAGGCTTCTCGAGCAGCAACTCCGCCGACGCGCAAGCGCTAAAGATGTTCAACGCCTTCAAGGCCAAGCTCGAGAACGCCGCCTCCACCACCGCCCACAAACACACACAAAGCAGCAACCCCAGACCCCAAACCACCACCACAGCAACAGCTGAAGAAGAAGAGGAGGAAGCCCAATTATGCGACCTGCACTTCATCGCAAACTGCCAATCATGCCAATCGTGGAACGAGACCGCCGATCACGAGAACGATGCCGATGCAGCCGCCGGCGACACCGAGAATGATGGCGGGTGGCTGACGCACCAGCTGCGGTTCGGGAAGGACACGCTGGGCAAGGATCTGAATTGGAAGAAGGAGCACCCGGAGGACGTGGATTCGTTGATGGTGATCGACCCCCGCGAGAAGGAGAGGGAGATTGTGGCGTCGGGGTCGGGGTCGGGGTCTTCCGGGAAACGAAGAGGAGGGTTGGAGCGGGATCGGGAGCGGGAGCGGAAGCGTGGCCGCGTGGGCGATTTGGAGTGGGAGAGGGAGAGGGAGCGGAGGCGC